TATGGCTTTTCTCGTGCATTACACATTTTACTCTATGGCTTGAAAAAAAACACAGTTTCGGTGGCCAAATCCTATCGACAAAGTATCTGTATTAGAACAAAAGAAGTACAACGTAAGTAAGGAAATAAGCAAAAATCATACTCGTAGCTTCTCAAATCGACTACACTCTAACACTAAAATTGTTAGAATGACGCTGCCAAAAAGGAATGAAAAATCAGCTCACCTTTAAAATACCTTTGATTTGGTTTTCCTATACTCCTTCACTTATAATTCGGCTCAGAAAAAGGGCATTCCTGCGTAAAAAGTCACTGAATCCAAGTCACTGTATGTATTCGAATGTGGCGAAGCTGCAAGTTGATACCCCTTTTTTTTAGCCCGCGGGCCCGCAATGCCGTGCGATTCAAAAGGAAGTCTGGAACTCCTGATGCATGTATATGTTTGTTTTTTTTTTGTTTTTTTTTGTTTTGTTATTTGAGGATTTGTACCAAGTACTGGAGCAGAAACAATAGGACAGGGGTCCCCTACGATGTTTAAGCTCAAACAAACCCACCCATCCCACCCCAGGGGAGGACATCCATCACACAGTCATCTCGTGCGTGGGAAATTAACGTCTCCAACCCCTAACCCTGCAGGAGACGGGACCTCCAATTATTCGTCCCTATCCGAGAAGACTAGAATATCTAAACCATTTCTTGTTGTTATAGAAAGGTAACATATTCTTCTCAATTATTTTAAGACCTTGAGTGTTGGTCCGGCCGGGGCTCGAACCCTCGACCTCCCGCACAAAAGTCCAGCGCTCTATCTATTGAGCTAACCAGGAGGCGGTCAAAATGTTGCTCATTACGTGATAATATTGTTGCTTGTCGAAAGATAGGTAGCCTACCTGAGCAGGTCAAGCAAAAAGCAAATCTTTGGGACTATAACATTCAACTTTAGAAAGTCACTATGTTTAAAAACAAAATTGGGTTCACTCTTTTCACGCAATTAAGAGTGTCTCTGTAAAAGCGGTCCGGTCGCTTTTGCTTGAGGGACAGATTTCCCTCATTTCTTGTGGGTGGTAAGACATTCATGTGCCTATACTAAAACCACAATCCGTTTGATCGCATTTCTTTATTTTTCATAGTTTTACTGAAATGAAATTTTACTCGAGTGAAGGCCTGTCGTGACATTTTCAAGACTTTAATTTGAGACAACTTTGAAGGACAATTAAAAAAAACTACGGAACTCAGCTGAAAACAAATACTATAGCCATGTATATTAACTCTACCTTATCCATCGAGGCGACTTTCGTGAACATCACATTTCAATCAAAGAAACAGGAAGACTTGAATGACACCTTACCGGTTCGCTTAACTCACACACGCGAAAACCGATCAAATTCAAGGTAAACATTTGAAAAAGTGAGGCGTTCTTAACTAATCCAATTAACATAGCTAGGAAGTAGATGCCATAGAAAAAGTAACTACAGAAAAAAACTTTGCGGCCCGACCTTTGCGAAAACTTTATAACTCCGCGAACTTACCTAATTTTCGGCAATCTCCAAGTTTGACTGCCATTTTGAGGGATTTGTCAACATGAAGCGCTGCAGACACAAATCGAGCAGGTAGATCTAAAACCGTCAGAAATACATGCGAAAGCAATTTAAATTAACTTTATTTTCTATTCAAGCAGCAAATTGTGAAATTATTCGTTAAACTTACCATTTCTACATTCCCGTGCTACCATTTCTTCCAACAATTCAAACACAACAACTAGTATTCAAATTCCCCTCGTCAGTCCACCGTAAGGAATAACCTGTGCCAAAGAAACTTCGACTCACATGTGAAGTACGAATCAAATAACAGAACTGCTTCTTCTTCGCGTTAATATCATGCTGGTATTTTGATTTTCTGATCGACAAGAACGGTGTTCAGGAAGCGATCGCCATGTTTACCTCATAAACGGACCGCTGACCAACCGCTGAGGGACAACAGAACGGTGTGGGTTAGGGTGGGTGGGGGCTTATCGTCATAAGATATTGTAATATATTGTTGCCAACGCGAGATATCAGATCACGAAGTTTATGAGGTGTGGCCTAAATGACATCAAAATAACCACTGGGAAAATACATAGGACGCAAGCGTTCTCTGTTAAAAACAACACTGGTGTAGTTGGACAACAACGGTGTTTAAGGAGGCTCGGAAAGCGCCGTTGCCGTAGTGTTTGTGAAACGATGAAATGTTACAAGAAAAGAGCTTTAATCGTGTGGGTAAACTACAAACATTTTTGCAACTAGATTGTTGGGCAATACTTTAAGAGTACTTGTAATGTCATATCGGCTACCATGGCAAGACGTAAGGTCCACAAACAGACACTCATTTTCAGTTATTGTAAATTATCTGAAAAACTAAGTCGGTGACCTACCATTTTTATTTCTTTGTAGGAAAGCTCCCGAATTTCTTTAACTTCTCAGAAAGCATGAAAAAAAAACTTATCTAGCAGATTTTGAGATTTCTTCCTGTACTTGTAATTGTTGCGAACGCGATACGAGTTCGGGAGATCTAAAGGAACTCACTTTAACTTTGTATACTAAAACGATTTCAATTTCGGCGCCAAGGGAGCAATTCATGAGTGATTTATGACTACGCTCACGAGGTAAAGAATCGGTTTGTGACTTTCTCACTTAATCGAAGGGACTCGCGTCACTCCTATGAAATGGTTAAACGGAATACAGACTGCGAACAGTTTCTTATTTTTCTTAAATATAGTGAAGTCACGCGTATCTTGTGAGCATGGAGAAGCCGCGTGACTCGTGTGTCGCGTATGACACACGAGCCGCTTCACGCTCTCTGGGTTGAGCAGACAAGAAAGTTTACCACTGATGCGATACAAGAGGTTCAATGGTTATCTCGATTATCAGAACACATTTATTTACATGCTAAAGATTTGTTTATAAATCTATTAACTGATGCCGATCCTTTTTGGAACGAATGTATTTCAAAAGAAAAAAGAATACCAAGCAAAACAAAAGTTGTTTGGATCTGTAACAAAAAGCATGCTTTTGCCCAAAGACTGAGAATCGTAATGCATATTATGATACTTTATTGAATATATTCGAATGTTCCCAAAAATCTTCTGATAATCTGCCCGCACCCACCCCACACCCTCCCCCTCGCCACTGAGCCGTACTGTTTTCACTTAACGGCTGGTCAGCGGTTCATTTATAAGGTAAACATGGCAATCGCTTCGCGATCGCCGTTCTAGTCGATCAGAAAATAAAAAACTAGTGTGCTGTAGCCTCGAAGATGAAGCAGTTGTGTTATGTGATTCGTACTTCACATTCGAGTCGAAGGTTGGGTGACACAGGTTACTTCTTAACGTGGAGTCGACGAGGGGAATTTGAACACTAGTTGTTGTGTTCGAATTGTTTGAAGAAATGGTCACTTGGGAATGAAGGAATGGTAAGTTTAACAAACTTCTCCCAACGCTTCGATGATGCCTGTTATTCAATTGCGTGACAGATCAGACGAGTGATCTGTCACGCAATTGAATAAGAAGAACGTTTCATCTTGACCAATAAGAAGTCGGATCGATTCATGTACTTAGCCGCTAGTTACTTAGCAAAGGTCGCTTGTGAAAAGGAGAAAGCAGAATTTAGCACGAAACAAACTAACATGTCATAACTAGCCAAACACGTAAAGACGAGGTCAAGAGGTGAGTCACAACAGACTTTGTAAACATTTCTCGACCCATTTCTGTTACGTGTACCTCTACATTTTTCTCTGGTGCATATTTAACTTATTCCATTGTTTTTGCTTCGCTTAACAATTTAGAGGAGCTTCACATTGGAAACTTTTAACTGCAAACATGTGAAGTGTTAATTACTTCAAAATGGCGGATATTGAAGATTGATTTACTTCAGGAATGTCTTGTTGTACAAAAGATCCAAGGGAAATAAAACGGTAGAAAGTTGAAGCTATCCTTGAACATGGCTCAGGAGATTTCCTGGTCGATTTCATTGCGTACCGCGAGAATTTTTGGCACGTTTGTTTGAAGTACCAACGAATCTACTTCAGAGCAGCTGTAGGTGCACTTGTAAAAAAAAATCATGTTTTATTTTTAAGGAAAGGTGATGAGTTGGTTGTGCTGCCATACAATTGCAGAAGGATCAGACGAATAGGATTAGTGTGAAACTAAATTAAAACTTACGATGAACTGACTCGAAAGCGCTACGAATTATGACAATTTGAAAGGTTTTGTTCAAGAAAATATTGTGAACCATTTCAAGTAGATCTTTCCTACACAGGCGAGAATTTTATCAAACGGACACTGCCGTCATATGTATGGGACTAGAGCCTACCAATGGACAAAGTATGGGCGAAATTGAATTTTGAGCTGTGTCCGCGATTTCTCTGATCTTTACTGACATTTACTCTTAAATGTTCGTTAATTTTGTGAATAATTTAGCCAACTTCCAACGGTTATTTTTGAAAAGGGGGAAAGCAAGGGCTTAAGACCTATTTACATGAAATTTCTCGTATCGTAGAGGATTTCATTGTGTTGTAAAGGATATATCAGAAACTTAGGGTAAAAATGAAAGATAGTATATCATTTTACGATTTGTGACATCACCCATTATATGGAGTTTTAGCTGACATAATAGGGAGCTTAGGCAACCACGACGAAAGGGACGACGACAAAGTCAAGCAATCGTGGAGGGTCTGGAGCGAGGACGTCGTTTTTAGCGGGAAAATGAAACTTAAGCAGTGAAGTTGCTGAAGGACGACGACGTCTGAAATTTTTGTTTATTCCCGCTTCGTCAGTTTAAGAAATGACATCGTTCAGAGACCTCCAAAACCTTCTTCTCAGTCATGGATCAAATTTTCACCTATATCGGAAGTTCGAGAGTAGGTTATTCAATTCTTGAACATCAAAAGTCCAAGGAATTATTAAGCTTTAGCTTTATTTACAATAATTTACGCATGATAAAAGTTTAAAATATAAATTTTACGGAAGTTATT